TTAACTGTCAAAGAAATGTGCAAGAAAATAAACTGATGTCACTCTACTCGAGTCCTTCTCAAATAGTGGGGCGTGACCCCCTGGGGGGGCCCGGAGCAATGCCGAGGGGGGGGGGGGGGTCGTGAGACCCCGGGGAACATTTTGCTGCAGGGAGTAGTTTTCTTTTTTTTCACCATTCTCATTGTGTCAGGGTGCGTTGGGCAACTGTTTGCTAAAATCTGTCAACTCTCAGTTGGACTAATAATAAAGTGATGAACAAATCTGTCTGTGTTGTCGTTTGGGAGCCATGATTGAACGGTTCTCTGTGACACCCCCTCAGCTGGTGACGCTCCGGACGCTTGTCACCACAGCACGCGTGCGACAGAAGCGTTACCTGCCCCTCTTCCTCTTTTACTTTAACCATTTTTTTTAGTTTGTCTAAGCACAATTTTGATCTTTTTTTAAATACAGAAGTAATCCAACATTTTTCAGTCAGGTCATCTGGACAGTTTCTTTTGACTGAAAAATGTTGGATCTTATACCTGGATTACTGAGCATGGACTTTGTTACAGAGGTAATGTTTAATAAATGTCACGACTCTGTTCTTTGCTGACAAAATATATTTTGTCATTAAACAACTTGTCAGGTTCTTGTGAGCACGTTCCCCTGGACCGCCCCAGCCAGCTCGCTGTTGCTGCTCTGAAGACCAGGTCCAGGTCCAGGTCCAGGTCCAGGTAAACATTGAGCAGGAGCTGAGAGCTGCAGGATCATGTTTCAAACTGCGCTTCAAAAAGCTGTGCACTGCAAAACGTGCTTATTGTAGCCATTAATCCTGACTTCCTCATTTTGATTAAAAACAAAAAAACAGCACAAATTGTTTAATTCATTTTTGTTTTGTAGGTCAAAGTGTTGTATATAACACTCCTGAGTTCAAATGTTACTGATCAATTTGAATTTATTATTATTTATTGATTATATTTAATGTGATTGTTCAGTATCAAATGGTCAAAAATGTTTACAGTTTAAATAAGGATATATATTTTTTTAATTTCAGGCAAATTGATGCACTTTAAGCCTTTTCTGTTACACACTATAAAACAATGTTAATAATTTTTGTTGTAAGTTGATCTATATTTCTTTATTTATTTAATTAATGTTAATAAGGATACAATGTTATGCAGAGGTGTATTTATAACA